CGTTAGCAGCGTCCAAAACATAAAAACGTCTGTGCACCCAAGTTTCCTCTTAAATATCTACACCACCTCTAGCTTGTTAATTTTAAAATAAGTCTTATCATAGTCTTTATATATAAATGTAACAGGGCGCTGACAGTGACGCGCCTGCCAATAGACCTTCCAACGCCTGGCTCTACCCAATTGAGCCAGAACGCCAAAAGATCCACCAATGCTCAAGTGGTCCTCACTGAGCACTGCTGTCAACACCACTTATATGGCCAATTGCCACTAATCAATCAATTGGGGATTGTCACCCTGTGACAATAAAACTATATATAGACTAATTTTTTACTTATTTAGATGTTTTTTAATAGAGATATAGGTTTTAGAAGCTGCTAGTGCAACGTGAGGGTTTTAGACGCCACTAATAAAACAGTTGCGCTGGCAGCGTCTAAGCCAATCAGAGGCTGGGAGTGGAGCATATTATAGGCCTCTGATTAGCTAGAACTGGACGCTGCCAATGCAACAGACGCTGTCAACGCAACGGACGCTGTCAATACAACAGACTGTAGCGCCAAACCTGACGCACATAACATTTGTGTAAACCTATTCTGTAGCCAACACAGCCAATGAGACACAGGCAGCTTGTAAAGTACAACATAACAACCAGACTATTAGCCAAAAAAGACAAAGATAAGAGAGGATGGTCGTACTCGCACTACTGGTCCACCCAATCGGTAAACTTGTATCTCAGCATTGGAATTACACAAATAACATGCCATTTTTGCAATCAATGTTCTTGGGCTTTGCAATGGACCACCAACGTTCTTCGTTATTCTTCTCTTTTGTTCAATGGACATCAGCTTCTGCTATTCAGCCCACATCCTAGCAGGCACCAAACCAACACAGGTGATCCTGAGTCATGTTCACATCACGCTTGGCTTTTCGCAACCCAAGTCGCTTAGTGTAGATGGTCTTCCGAAGCTATATGTATAGTTTGCTAAGATTTTGTCTTGCCCCGCGTTTCCCTTATTCAGTAGGAGTATTCATACAGTACCAGGTCAAAAGTATGTTTACAGCAAAAAGGATAACCCAAGGAAGAGTCGAAGAGAGGACCCATTAATAGCTTGAGATCACTTCACAGTGCGCCACAAAGGCGTTATGCCTTAGCCACCCGCTGTAGCTTTTGAATAGCTGTCGATATTGCCGTAAACAGACTTTTGATCTGGTTCTGTACAAGCTGATAGTGCCCCCCGCCCAGTTAACCTGACAGTGGGTCTACTCTGATAGGTAACCGGACAAATGTCATATTCCGTACCCGAACCAATCTCACGCTATCCCGAATCCTAACCAAAATCCTAACCCACCCTATTACCCTGACAGGTATCCTGGTTATCAGGCGGAGCCACCGTCAGTTAAACTAGGGGGGGCATTACCGGCTTGTCTGATCACTCTGAGGCGATGTGAGTGGCCAAGGTGCAGATATAGCTACGGTGTGTCTTTTCGAAGATGAGATTTGTGCAAGCGAGATGAAAGCTGCAAGACACTGAAATTAGGTCTTCTTATTATTATTTCAATGGTACCTCGATCCCTCTCTGCGTTCTCGGTAGGCAACCGAGGACATAACGTGCCACTCGGCATCTCCCCGCACTTTACTACGTAGATTCCGATAACTCAAACCACAGTCACGGAGTGTCTCCATATTACACGTCAACTAATGGTTATGTCGCAGAACCTCGTAATACTCGGACTCAACGTTCCCTCTTGCATGTCACATGATACCTAATCGGATGTGGGTTGCTTCCACTTTATGATGGATATAACACATCACACCGCGCATCTTGCCCGGATCATCGCGATTTACTGTTTTCACCGCTGCTACTCCATCTCATTGAAGCAGTTCATTCATACGGAGCCTCCGGCTTTCGTATTATACTGCGACATACTCGGCTTTAGGCTGCACTCAGGTCCAATTTCTGCCAGCAAGGAGTTTCCCTCCACGTGCGCCAGCACGCTTCAGCTTCTCCGCGCCTGGGGCAATCTTAATGTGACACAGCTCTTGAATCGTCAGCAGGGAAAACAGCCGAGGTATCCGGATCGAGAGAAACTCACCGCCTGCAGTTGGTTGCGCGATATGCTGCTCGTCACATGTGGGAACGCAGGAGAAAATCCGGCATGTGGCCCGAGAAGCTACACGGGTGTCAAGCTCGCCCTTGCGAGCGCACGCCATTTCGATGGCTGTTTGACCAGGCTGACAAGCACCACATTGATCCACATGGCTCGTTCGGACAATCGCGCAAATCGAACTTTCTGCCTGAACCCTGACCAGGAGAGCCCAGGCCCACAGCGCCCAGCATCATGACTCCTTCGCTGGCGACATTGGACGAATCCGTTCAGAAAAGCCCCAACTCACGTGTACGAAAAGGGCGAATAAGTCAAGGACCTGGATATTATGGACAGTTCTTCATGGCGTTGCTTTCCCTAATAGTCGCTGTCAGCCGGATCGGACGCTGACCCCTGTGAAAGTTTCAGCAAGTGGAATATACAATACGTGTAATACGAAGGGCTGGTGGTGAAGTGGGTGGGTTGGCTCGCCACGATTGAGGTTGTTACCGGAACGGTTCATTACGTTCAGTTCCGGCCGGTCGAACAGTGTGTTCAATGACGGCGGTAAGGCCTAACCAAGCTATAGTGGAAGCATTCTATTTTCCAGCTTATCTACGTTCATTTTGTAGGCCGCGGACGTCCCCGATCCTACGTTGTAGGGGACACACATGTCGCACATATGTCACACAATTGCGGTTTAGACTCCGGTTTCAGCCCATCAACCCATAATTTAGTACCGTCAAGCTGAACAACAACTCCTGGCTTTCCGGTATCCGCTGCAGACGGGCGCTCTTTCCGTGCTGATCAACTTCGGATAGTGGTAGATGCATGCTGGCTACGGTGACGTCTCTTTCATCCAGAGAACCCTCTGTCTTTTTCCGTTGTTCCGATACACCTGTCCACCCAAAGCCTCTGAAACTTGCTTTATAGACTGCGGATCCTCTTCACGAGTTGAAAGTCGACTCGTAGAGAACTGATATTAATAAAACGCCAAAAGAGAACTCTAGTTATCATCGACTAGGCACGTGGCTAATTAAGGGCCGGGGCATTGACATCAGATGAGCCGCGCGGGAAGATAGCGGGGACCATCCCAAGAATCGGATCACCGCGACTCTTTCCTCAAGGATTATATTCATGCTCGTCATGGATGCGGTTTGGATACTGCATCAAGCGCGAGCCTTGCGGTGCGATTGTGATGCAAGGCGGGCGGTAAGACCGTATAGGAGCAAACAAATGCCGTTGCAAGGGTTCTCAAGAGGTTCCGTTGAAGTCTTTCCATCTATCATCTTCATCCTCACTACTCCGCAACGTCGCCCAAGTTCGCATCTCAGCACCTTCCCTAAGTGCAAAACTAACCTTCCCTATCCTGGTATCAATTGCGTGCAGGTTACTAATTCTCGCCAGGGTAATTGCTAGGTTATGCATTCGAGTGCGGCATGATCAGATAGGTGCTGGACTTCTGACGAACTTCGCACAGACAAGTTTAATGTGGACCGTCTAGCTAGATGTAGTTAGATAAGTTGATATACCATGCTTGTAGGTATGCGAACTTGCCCACATTCGTTGCGGAGCATTCCTCATCAGTTGTGTGGCTGGACCAGGCCTTGACTCAGGTACGTTATCGAGAGCAGCCGATCGTTCTCGTGGCGTGCATGAGCATGGGAGGCCATACTGGTTCGTTCCTGATACTCGTCAACACAAGTAGGTACTGCGTATCACTTGCCCAGTTGTGACGGGATCCGCGCAGGTGCGTCGCTTGTGGGTTCAATACGACTGTGGCAGATCATATTAAGCACAGGAGTCGCTACGGATTCCGTAGCACTCCCGCTCAGCTGGCTGTGTGGGCGGGGGGTAGCATTGCAAGCGCCCTGCACGTGGTAGTAAAATCAATATGGCGGTCATCTTTCGAATGCCATTGTCGAGACTGGTTTGAAGTGCCACTGTGGAGATGGTTCTTGCGTCGCTTGGAAGTTGCTGCAACCTCAACGACATGGCAAATGAGAACACCGCAAGCAGGCTGCAAGACCCATCTTTCGGTGCCCTCGAATGTGGAGGCACTGCGAGGGCGCGGACTCTATGGCTGAATCTCCACCAAGTAGGATTGAGACGAACCAATGGACCATACCCGGTGAACAGGGGCTCATGATTCAGACATCAACACACGCCCTGCCACCTGCCGTGTCGAGCCGCAAGGCTTGTATCGCATTCCTTGTTGAGCCCCTTCTACACCCCTAACTGACTGCAATCGCGTGGGTCGAGTCAATACCAGACGTTCTTCATGCTGTGACAGGATCCAGAAGTCATGGTCTGTGCCAAGTTGCGGACGACGATTCCGGGGCGGAGACGCATGGCAACCTGGTCAGAGAGCAGGCTGTCCCCAGGACGAAGGTGGTTGAAGGGTCATAAGCTCCATGGGTCCTCGGTCCGCTCTGCTGACCTTTCCAGAGTTACGGTACAATAAGATGTGAGAAGACCGAGCTCCCTGCTACGTCAACTCCATACTTGTTCTTGAGGATATCTTGCACCCCGCTCCCAGACAAGCCCGGCACCAATGAGCCGGACCTTGCTGGCCAGGTAGACAATATCCCAATGATCCCGGCTTTCTCGGTTCTTCTTCTTCTCCTCCTCTTCAAGCTGCCATGAAGAGACTCCTCGGGTATTGTCTTGCGTTACTGCCGTGGGCGGCTGGTACGGTCCTCGGTCACAACGATGCCAGAGCGGCCAGCTCTTCAACGGCCATCTTGTTGTCCACAATCCCTACATGTGCTGTAAGTCTTCGAAGCATGAGGCGTGATATCCAACCCTGTCTCACCCGCGCCTAGGTTTCTTGCACCACGAAATCCTTCTTCGATGCAGGATGTAGTCTCGACAACGTAGCCCCCTGCGTGTGCACCGACGTCCCCCTCCTCAAGACTATGTCCGCATGTGTTCAGACATCGTGCAAATGGGAAGATCAGCTCGGTAGGTCCTCAGCTGCCGGCATCATCACTGAGAGGGCTACAGCTAACAGCTTGTCAGTAATGTCGAAATTGACGCAAGACCTGTGCCGCGCCTTCCCGCACGAGTCTCGAAAATCCGAGATCAAACGGGTTGCTACAGTGTTCGCATCCATCATATTTCCCATCGTGGGATTGAGACTGCTCTCACGATATGTCGCAACGAACCGGCTTGAGTTCGACGATTGGATAACGATTGCCACGTCTGTGAGTCCACAAAGGCCGCGGAATCTCGATACCATTCTGGGTCATCGCTGACCCGTACTCCAGCTCGTTGTAGGCGCAACCCTTGGATGCGTTATATCAAGTAAGCATTGGATATGCTCTTTTCTAGCCCGGCTTGCAGATTATCTAACGCGATGCAGCTGCTAATCTCGGATTCGGAAACCATTTCTGGGACATTGATCCAAGCAACGCCGAGGGCATCGCCAAGGTGAGCCCTGGTCTTTTCACCTTGGGCCTTCTCCTACACATGACTGACGGAGCGACCAGCTCTACTACTCCATCCAGATGCTCTACGTTGTCATCATCATCATGGTCAAAACGGCAATTGTAGCCTTCTTCGCGCGCATCTTCCCACGTCGCAAATTTCAGATTGCCGTCTACATCGTTCTGGCGGTCCTCCTCTGCCACGGCCTGTTGTTCGTCCTCCTCATCATGTTCGAATGCGCCCCCGTGGCCGCCATCTGGGACCGTACACTCGAACGGAAATGCATCGACCTCAACGCCGTCACATTAGCGAGCGCCATTCTCAGCATCATCGAGGACTTCGTAATCCTGGCCATGCCCATTCCGGAACTGAGGAGACTCGAACTTACGCGCAAGAAGAAGTCTGCGGTAATTCTGTTGTTCAGCTTAGGATCTTTGTGAGTTTGATCATCTTCCTTGCATTCATACATTGGAGGAGGCTGGGGTTGTGCTTGGTCGTACAGCTGTCGCAATCCAGTGCTAACATTTGACAGTACATGCATCACCTCAATGGTACGCATACGCTATCTCTCGATATTTGTCGATCCTTTTGATATGACTTGTAAGGCCCACATTCCCTGCCACCTTCCCTAGGCTATGACGCTGACATGATGCCCAGGGGAACGTGTCGATCTAGTGAACTGGAGTGTCGCCGAGATTTCCTCCGCGCTGTTGTGCGGAAGCCTCCCAGCGTTGCGACCCCTTTTCATGAAGATCCCCGCCCTCCTCGCCATGATGCGAGGCGAACGTCCGCATACAGACATCAGAGAGCCCCTCGACACGTACAGGAAGGACGACCACCACGAAGCACAATTCCAGGACAAGTCGCACGGGCTCATCGGCATGTCCCAGCTCTATCTGCCCAACGCGCGCGTGCCGGACAACTGGACCAAGGAAGACGAACTCTACGCGATGAGGCGCGACGTCGAAAGACAGATTGTCGAAAGGCAGGTCGGCCACCATTCCGATCGAGTCGCCCCCCTGACGGAGCCGCTACGCTCCCACCCCATCTGGATGAGGCGCGGCAGTGAGTCGACGACGACGACAGCGACGTACTCGGCCACCAGATCGCCGACGATAATGAGCACATCGACGTACTCGAACCCCAAATCACCGACGGCGCTTCTGCGTATGAACGGATACGAACCGAAGAACATAAGGAACGGCGTGAACAAGAACTTCACAATGTCATGGTTGTAATGAGAGTGGAACATGTGATGAGATGCGATATACCCATTTGTCAGATTTGAATTGATGCCATTGATGCCCCAAGATACCTGCTTCTATTCTACCTGATATCCCCGCGTTCGGCGACATTACCCAGCCAGCTGTGCATTCAAACAGAAAGCCTACGTGGGCCGCGCCAACGGATGCTACCGCCGCTGGAGTTGTGTTTCAGATGACATTTCACTTCTGCGTCATAATCGTCAGTGCTCAAGGCCTCCATCGTCACGACGGCATACGAGCCTATACCGTCGCTCGCAACATGTCCGTATCTTCAGCCATACAGAAGAAGGCTCCGCAGTCACCTCCAAGACGGCAAAGGTCAGCGCACCGAAGCGTGTCCCTGCGTAGATATAACGAGTAACATAATCTGCAATCTCTGTTGCCGACTTAGTCATAGTCTGGTTTTTGTTTTCTTTTTCTTGTCCGATAACTTGGGATGTATTCCGTTTCAACTCGGACGGGAAATGCGTCGCCTTACCTACCTGATTCCTCTTCTCCCCTTCTGCATCCCCCCCAGGCTCTCCCCATCCGGACGAACTCGCTATGAGGGAGGCCTCGTAATGCTTCTTATCGTCGATGGGTCAGAGCGCGCGCACATAGCATATGATACACACACCCTGATTCCAGAGTTGTATTCTGCCACTTTAGCTTTCATGGTTCTACGGAAACCGTTAGCTCTCACCTGGACGGACGGAAAAAACACACAGGGGGGGAGCATCGGCTTAGGCCATCGTGAGCCGGATGAAACATCTCGACGGCCGTGCTGAGTGCGACCTGGGACGGGCGGGCAGGCGGGAAGGTCCCTGCGGAACGGCCACCAGCCGGTGGGAGGCCTATATAATAACGGGACACTTTATATACTCCGGGGTCAGGCGAGTACCGCGGAGATCAGATTAACGGATGCAAGAAAAGAAATGCTTGGCGTGTTGGCAGACTACCTACCTACCAGTACATGGTGAGACACTCAGGCCAAACAAAAACAGGGCCCGTTGTTATGCCAAAGCACATCAATTCAGGAACACCCCCCCTCCCACCGTTAGATAGCAAGAAGCAGCAGCTGGGAGTACTGCTACGTTAACTCCAGACAGCGTTGTAAACGGCTCATGCATGGGTAGATGGAGGCCTTTTTCCTGCTGTAAACAGATGCTAAGTAGCTTATTGGCAGTGGTAGTGGTAAAGAAAAACAGCACTATTCTGTTTTTTTGTTTCTTTCTTTTTTTTTCTCTCGCCACCTGAGCCGAACCATCTCGCTAACAATCATCGCTCTTATCACCGGCTATTATTGCATCACGTAGCCAGGGCCAGGGTGACTGTGCGTGCGGAATCCCTCACAGCATAGCATCGCGTAGCGTGTCGGCCTACCCCGCCCGTTACGCCTCGGGGTAACTACCGGTAAATGTGGAAGAGGGAGGGGGGGGGGGGAGGTGCGGGGTTAAGCATCGTCAACCGTCAAAGGTGTCAGTGGCCTCTGTAGCTTGTTTCAACGGCTTTGTGGATCTGACCGAAGCTACTTCAACGTCAAAGCCCGTTTGGCGTGAGCCTAACGCAAAAGGAACGAAAGACGACAGATAGATAGGAAGGCTATGAAATCAGTAGACGTTGTCGCCCGCCCTCCAAGCCGTCCTGCCGAGGACAACAACAAGTCACATAAAATACACAAAATTGCCCCCTGCCAGTTCCGAATCCCCTGAGTTATCCCAAATACATATCCTCCCCCCAATCGCGCCTGGTGCCGCCCTGTTTACCGAACCCATGTGTACAATTGAGTCGCCTCAGCCCATTTTCTCGTGTGTCCTTGAGGTATCCCTCCCAAGCCCACTTGTTTGTACCGGGAAGAAACGCGTGAGCTCGTCCAACGAGCATTATGCCTTCGTTTCATGCTCGAACCTAGCATCGTACCATCAGTCATTGGAAAGTCCTGTGTAGTCAGGTTCCACTCGCCGTCGCAGCGCGCGCCGCGCCAGAGGACGAGGCGAACAGGGAGGTGCGGTCCCCGTTCCCTGGCGCCTAGCCAAGAGACGGACTACCCTCCCTGCTCCGCGACTCGAAGCTCTCTACCATCCTGAGAACCCTCGTCTTCGGTCGCGACACGCTCACGACCTCGGCTGTGCGCAGCGTCAGCGATGGCCGTGGCTCCGCCGAGTCCTCCCTGCTGGGCAGCGGGTGTTGGTGGCCCGTGCCGTCGTCTCTCGGCGGCGGGAGGTGGACCAACCGCCGCCCGCGCACGGGCGATCCATCCCCGGGCGACTCCGGCCTCCGGTGCTGCCTCGGCGGCGGCGGCGGCGGCTCGTCATCGTTGTCGTCGGCTGGTGCCTTGCCTTTGCCCTTGTCCCTGTACTCCTCCTTCAGCGCCCTCTTCTCGAGGTCCGCGTTTGACTCGTCCAGCCCGTCCATCTCGTCCTTATCTGGGTCCACGAGGATGACCTCCTCTTCTCTCTCCACCTCGGCGTTAACAACCCGCAGCCTCTCCTTGGGCACGGTGAACATGACCTGCACAAGCCGCTGCTCAATCGCCTTCTCAATGTCCCACTCGTCGAGGGACTTCTGGTCGACGTCCCAGTCGTGCCGGCCCTGCTTTCTGCGTAGGAGTTCGGCGCCGCCGATCCCCGAGAGTCCGATCAGGCGCGGCTCGTAGTCCGAGCTGACCTGGTCCAGCGACAGGCGTCGCGGGCTCTCCTGGTTGCTCGAGTCCGACGAGTCGTTGACGTTGCTGCTAAAGACCCGCCTCAGGCTGCCCAGCCAGCCGAGCGACCTCCGCGGCTTGTGCTTGCTGGGGCTGCCCGGCATGTGGATAAAGTCCTCGTCGTCGTCGTCGTCCGCGTTCTCGTTGGGTGGACGCTTTCCCTGGAGCAGCAGCGACGGGCCCTCTGCCTGGAGGGCGTTGAATGTGGTCTTGGCAGTCGAGTACGTCTGCCCGCTGCTGCTCGACGACGACGTGTCCAGGCGGGTGTCGGTGATGATGGACAGGTTGTTCGGCCCCGGACTCGCGCGCCGCGTAGACGCCTGGCGCGTCGGCACGCTGATGGCGCTCCGCGCTGACTCGGATACGTTGCTCTCTGTACGCTCGTCGTCGGCCATGGAGCGTGCCGAGCGCATCGACTCGCGGCGCGTGGGAGAGACGCGGCTGTTGCGCCGCGACGGCATGCGCGCGAGGAGGGCTTCGGCGGCGTCAACATCAGACTGCCAGTCCTGCACCTCCGGGTCCCGTCTATGGAAAGCCTCGGGGCTGGGGGTCATGGAGTTGCGATTGCCCGGGTTTAGAATGGGGATGGGGCCCGTCGGGGTCATGAACGGGTCGGCATGCCTCGGCGTGGTCGGCGTTTCAGGCTTCTGATCGCTGTGCCGCGAGGCGCTTGTGTTGTTGCCGTGCTCGGGGTCGTCTTCGTCGGCTTCGTAAATTGGGTGGATGTGTCCCGGTGTACTGAGATTTGCGGCGGGCTGATACGCGCCCCTGGCCGCACGGGGGATTGGTTTACGTGGGATGAGGAGGCCGGGTGGTTGGTATGTACCCTGCCCTCCCGGATTCTGACCCGACCTCAGCGACTCGTACCCGAGTGACCTGTCAATCGAATCATAAGGATCGGGACCTCCCGTGTACCAAGCGTGACCTGTCCAGGGGAACATGGGGCCGTCGTCGCGCTCCGACATGTCGTCATCCGGGTGCAGGAAGCGCGACGCATCTTGCGCCAGGGATCGCACCGTCTCGTCTCTAGCTTTCTTCCTCTTTCGCAGGTGTCTCTTGTAACAGAAATAAACGATGAAGGCGCCGACCACAGCAGCGAGGCCTACGCCCAAGCCCACGCCAAGCCCGATATTCTTGATCATGTTGTTCCCATCAGAGCTGTCACCGGATTCATCCGAAGAGCTGTCATGATTGGGGTTGGAATAGCTCGAGATCCAAGACATGGAAGTTAAGTTGAAAAACCTCAGACCCGTCCCGCTCGCTTGTCTCTTCGCTTTGGAACCGGAAGTCGTGGTTTCGTACCCTCCATAAACCATCATAACGTTCCCGGGTAATATCGCCGCTCCGTGGCCGTAGATCCCGCCGTCTGGCTGCTGCGAAGGGATCGACCACGTCCAGTCGCCGTACGTATCGCCCATCTTCAACAGGGCCAGCTGCGGCGATGCAGGCTGTGACACACTGCCGACCCAGCCGCCCAGGACGATGATATAAGTGCCGTCCTCGCTCAGGACCGCCGTGTGGCCCGACCGGCTATCCACGTCGACCGCGCCCCCGCGCTTCTCCAATTCCTTGACGGCGAGCTCGGTGCTGCCGACGCTCGAGGACCCGACGTTGGCGAAGCTCCACGACTCCTCAGGTAGACTCCAGATGGCGGCGGAGCTCATGTTGATGAAGGCCTGCTGAGTGTGGCCGCCCAGCAGGACGAAGCGCGCCTGTTGCGTAACGACGCCGGACCGGTTCGAAATCGAGGGGCTGAGCGGCGTGAAGGAGAAGCCCGCCTCGGGGAACGCGGGGCCTTTTCCGGAGACGAACTCGGCCGTGTATGCGGGCAGCCTCGAGCCCGAGCGGGTCACCCTGAGCATTGACTTGGTGTACGTCGCATCGGCCTGCCACGCGGATTCGTTCGTCGTCGTGGTGAGACACATGCCGCCGTACGAGTAGAGCACGGGCTCAGACAGGGTCGGCGCAAGGGTCAGCGAGAAGCTGATGCCGGCGCCGAGGGCGTATGGCCCGGCATCCGAGTCCGCGTTGCTCGGTAATGTTGCTTCGGCCCTGTTCCACGACCCGGGACTGGCGTCAGCCCCGGACTCGGGTGGTGTGTAAGCCCAGACGTCGTAGCCGTGGCTAGAGGCGCAGTCCCCCGCCTGAACCACGACGGAGCCGTCGTCGGCCATGGTGGGGAGGAAGGCCGTTGTGTCGGATGCGCCGTCGAGGAAGGGCAGGCTCGTCGAGATGGTCTGGAGGCTCGCGGCGCCGGAGACCGTCGCGGAGATGTTCACGGCCAGAAGCTCAACACTGCTGGCGCGCGGGTGAAAGATGTAAGCGAGGCCGTCATTGCCGCCGCTGTCGTTGACGGGCGAGCCCGGCAGGGAGGAGGAGAGCAAGACGGTGGTCGGGACGTAGGGGAATGTCTGTTGGGAGGAGGCGAGGGGGGCGAAGAGCAACGCATAGGCGGCGGCGAGGGCGGTGATCTTGGTGTTGCGGGTAGCCGCCGGTGTCTCTGTCCCGGAGGCCCACCAGCGGGCCGTTGCGGCCATGATGATCTGTAGACGCTGTCGTCGTTGGAGAGCTAGGTCCGTCCACCCCCAGTCTCTTGTGTGTGTGTGTGCGCGTGTGTGTGTAATCGTATGCGCCGATCGATGGAGCGGTGGTCAATTCATTGTCTTGGCCCTCCCTTCTGACTTACGCCAGTGTCGCGATGCGATGTGGAAGGCACGGAGGTCTGGGAAGTGAGAATGGCTTTTTGACAAGTGGGCACTCTCTTTCCCGTATTTCGACCCCTTCTAATTTCTTCTCCCTTCTGTCTCTTGCTCTCGTTCTCGCTTTCCCTTGGACTAGCTGGGTGCAAGAACGGGCCTCGGGGATGGGTTTGGCGACAAGTGATAATCTGGAAGAGAAAGTAAAAGCACAGGGCATGCGGATAAGAGGAGGCCAGAGCAGACGTCTGGGTTGTGATGGAGAAAGGGACCCCGGACAATACGATGGATTGATCTGATGGACAAATGGAGGGGTTGGGCGGGTTGCTTGCAAGGTAGTATCTGCAGGTGCTCGAGCAGGTTGGGGATGTCAACAAATCGAACTATTGACGTGCAGGGGGGCAACGGGATGGGGGGCAGCGTCTACCGGTCGTTCGGTGGGAGGGGAAAAGAAGTGTGGGGGGGTTTTTTTTTTCTTTTTTTAAAAAAAAGGATAAAATAAGAAAAAAAGAACGGAAAAGAAAAGAAGGAAACAGGCGCAGTAGGGATATGGAGAAAATCATGGTATGCTGTGGTCTGCTACCGGGCCTCTAACTCCAAAGTCTTCAAAGGGAGGGAGGAAAGCTAGTGTAGAACAGAAGCTTCCCTGCGCCCACGGCTTAGCAGCAACGCGTAGCAGCAAGACCAACAGCCAATGGGGGAGGGTGGCTGTCGAATGGCATCATGCCTGGGCCAGTGCTGTTCGAGAACTTGTTCTAGCACTCGATACCTGGCCGAGTCGGATAACTGGCAGCAGAGCAGGGCTGTTGTCCTGGGGAGGACCGGCGCATCTGACAAGCATGATCACCGTGGCAACGCCTAGCTACCTAGTCTGCTAGTGTACAGGGAAGGCCCTCGGCTAGCAGCGCCGGGCATACAGTCACGTGTAAAAGTCTGGGCTCACCTTACAGTATACACACTATTCCTAATCCGTGCTAGATCGACTTGTACCCCTGATGCCCGCCCTTTGTTGCAGCTGTTGAAGCGCGTAACCTTGCGTTAATTAATTGCTCTGTTCTGTGTTTCTATCTGTTATGTCGCGTCGCCATCTCCAATCGGGCCCTTCCAAGGGGCAAATGCACGGATCATTATTTTCCCTTCATTTACGTGGGGCAGCAAGCAAGCGGGTGTAAGTATCCCATCCCGCCCCGTGTGTTAGAGCCGACGGGAGTTCGAGTCTGAGTCTGGCATCACATGTCCAACCATCAAGAACAACCAACGTATTCCCAGTCGTTTCACTCCTTCTAGGGTCTCTCAAGCGCCTTACATAGTACGCCCATCGTCAACTTGTACTGCCCAATCAACCCGCGCCCCATCTGCCCATCTCCGCCAACCTACAGCTCTTGTTCCACCATAATCACATCGCCCTTCGGTCGGCTGAGAACCACGTAGTCAATGTCACCACCAGATTCACCCCTCAGTCCATGACATCCGCAGATGGGCCTCCCGCCGATGCCTGTCTATTCCTGCCCGCCACCTCCTCTATCGCCGGCGGTCGCAAAGGCGCAGGGAACAGCGTATGATACATGGCCGGCACCTTCTTCAGGCCCTCGGCCACACCAGCCTCCAGAGCATCCAGCGCCTCCGTCTGCTCCTTGAGTCTCGTCTCGAGGAAGGCCACCGCCTTTTCCAGTCGCCGCGGGCCGTCCGCCGACTCCGACGTCCCGTAGTACATCTCGAACTGGGCGTTGGTCATTTGCTCCTTGTGCAGCGACGTCGCCAGCGTTGTGTTCTGCTCTTTCATCGTCTGCGTGAGCGCCTCCAGCCGGTGGTTCTGGATGCCCACCCGCGTCGCCTCGTCCAGCTGGTCCTTGAACTTGCTCTCCCACTCCGACACCCGCGCCGGCCACGCCGGCGCCACCACCGTGACCACCCTTGGCGTCACCTCGAGCTTGCGCGTCTGCCGCACCGCCGGGTGCACACCGTGCGCCGGCAGGATGAAGATGCTGCTCCGCCCTTTGCCCTGCAGCCGGTAGAAGCGTGTCTTGACGTCGTAGAAGACGAGCCCCCGCGCGTAGAGATCCCCGCCCCGCCGCTCCTCCCACATGCGCTCGCCGTACGTCCCGTTGGCCGCCCAGATGGCCCTCTTGTGCTCGATCTGCGCCTCCTCCCGGTCCAGCGCCCGGCTCAGGTGGTCGAAGACTTCGTCGCCCGCGTTGGCGAGAACCCACCTGTCCTGCGGGAAGGCGAGCTCGCGCCCGGATGTCGCGTCCGGGCCCGTCTTGGACACCATCTGCATCGGCACGACGGCCTCGCCCGCCATGACGTCGAGCGCGTTGGCGTAGCTCAGCTCGAGCTCGTGCACCCGGGCCACGAGGTGTTGATTAAACAGCAGCCACTGGCCCAACAGGCTGTTGCGTACCGCCCTCATCTCTTCGGCGTCGGTATCCGCGTCGGTGGGGAGGAGTGACATGAGGCCTCCCGTAGCGCTGTACTCGTGATCCAGTATCTCCAGACACTCGTTTGCGTGGAGCGCCAAAGCGCCGTGGGAGGCGTACGGGCGCGGTTTTGTCCTCTTCTCCTTGTTGTTCGCAAATGATTGCAAAGGGCAGTGGTGGACAACACCCTGAGTGTCGGACTGGTGCTGGATCTGGTTCATGAGGTCGGTGAGCGGCTTGTGGTGCCACTCGTCGTCGTTCTGGTACGTGTGGCTCAGGTCGTTGAGCCAGTCGAAAGCCTCGTTGTCTCTGAACGTCTTTCTGGTCCGGCCGCGGGGGTTGTTTCCGTTGTCCATTTCGCCATACCGGGTCGTGGGTGCCAACTTGCCAATGAGAACGGTCAGTGCCTGCGCGTGTTGTTTGAGAGCAAGCAGCGTTGGAGCGTGGCCATGTGTCGAGAGGTAGCCGCAGTTAACATGCCGCAGGAGATGCATGTCGCCAGAGCTACCGCTGCCGTCAGGATGGACGATTTCCTCGGTGAAACGAGACTGGTAAGCACCGGCATACGAAGTCCTGTCGATGTGGCCAAGGGTAGGCTCCCGGCTCGAGGAGGTCTGCGAAGACATGGTAACAGTTACGAGTGCCGCAATGCTCTAGAGGAAGATCGGGTCCGAGAGTGGAAACGTGGTTTACAAAATGCTAGTAGGGAAAGCCATCTGGTTGCCAGAAAGGAAAGCCATCAAATTAGTAGCCTTGGGTTTATTACCGCGGCTGGTTATACGCACGGCAAGCGACTCTTCGATCGTGTATGCGTGCTGCCGCGATATTTGACAAAGTAGCTGGTGCAATGTTTTCAGCAATGGATGCTGTAACGCAAAAGCGAACAAAGACTGCGTAACGGCAGGGATTACGAGGCTTTTATTCATTTACAGCAACAATAGAAGTGGCCGCCTTGGGCCGTTGAATCGCATGGTACGACCGTCGGAGTGTTGAAAGACACTAAATAATGGAACATGACAATGCCTAGGCTCTGTCACAATCGAGGTCATCACGAGCCATTGCGCAACCAAGTCACTCCCCTTTCGTCATTCGCGAGAGCTCCAATGATCGAGGCAGAAAATCAATCAGATAGGGGAATGCTGCAAGCAAGACACACTTCTTCTGGCCGCCACCCAGACAGAACGCCAAGCCGGCCCATCACCTAAGAGGATGAATGGACCCGTGAAGCAGAGCCCCGAATGTGTCAAATTGATGAGAATGGGCAGGCCAAATTTACGCCTGTTGGCAATTGTGCGCTGTTCTGCTAAGCAGATCACATGCCTGCCGCCGCTGTGTGAGCAGAGCGAAGTGATCGGAAGAATGCATCCTTGAAGCTGCGCATCCAAATCGAGCGACCAAGAGGGCTGCAAACCGCGATGCCGCGTCGCCTTACCCTCATACAAGATGGCAACCGGCAAAACGTCTTTCCCCCCAGTGTTGGGGGCAAGCGATTGCCGCGCTTGTCGACAGTTGGCCGGTGGTTGCAAAAGTTAACACCGCCGCTGGTGGTTAATCGGGTGTAGTCTCGAGCGGTGCTTTCGATTCATTTTGGAACGGCGTCAATCATTACTCTCTCTATTTGCGACGGAGATGTCCGGAGCTGAGGCGAAGTTGTCCGGGATGATTGAATGAAGAGGGGTCAAGGACGGCATGGGGGCCTAGGCTGTTCCAAACACAGCCTTTCTTTCAGCTGGAGAGGAAGCACTTTGGGGGGGGCAGCATCAGATCAACAATCTGCAAGGTGCAGCAAAGTTAGATGTACAGGCCCAGTATAGACAGACGGGAGCTGCGCAGACGCACATCTTTATGAAAGGACAAGTTTCACTGACCAGACAGCTACTCAACGTTTCGATCAATGATGCAGCCGTGTCATGGGATCGAGAGCGCGGGCGAGGTTTCATGCCAGTTTGCATCTTGGGAGTGTGTTGGCGCGCGCCAGCAAACAACGACAGGGCGTCCAAGGTGGGTAAATCGGCCATGGCCAGATTTAGAGAGCCACGGGCGGCTACTGTGGACCAGCGTCGCACAAATAATGGCAGCGACTCGAGCATTGTCTGACCCTCAAGTAGACGACGGCTTGGTGTGTTTCGCTGGTTCCGGTTCCATGTGTCTGTCGCTCGAGAGGCTCCTGGCTAGACTGGCCGGCCGATGGCGGCGCATTCTTTCATAGTTAGTTGCGACCAAATTCCTTCTTCAGCCGAGCAAGGGTCTGAGGAAAGACGATCTGACGATGGTACAGCGTAAAAATGAAACTAGGCGCCAATAGATACTATGGCATGTACGGATAGGGGATTTGAGATTTTCAGGCAGGGTGGCGCCAAGGCCGAACGCGGTATGGCTCGTTATCAATGGACGCTAGTGTCGTAAGAGCGCGGCGGATGAGCGACGAAGCGTTCCGGAGTCCAGAGTGGGAAATTGGCAGCGTTCATCGACAAGATCGATATTGCGCACAGATGCATGGTCATCCATCATGCCGATTCCAGACGAAAACGGGCGCCCTTGTGCGTGAGTCTCCTTCTGATGGGTGTATTAAAGGCACGCGACAGCGAAGCAACACGCTGGTAAGGCATTCCCGATGACGCGCCATGATGGCTGCCCAGCCGGCCGGTGTCTAGGCTATTCATCTGGGGTCGTCGGCGCGACAAGTGAATCAGAGGCTGTCATGATATCGACGTTTTCGAATCGAAAAGCAAGTGGGTGTTGGCCCTGGCTCATGAGCATAGATTGCGTCAGTGAGCGGACGGATCTTAGTTTGGGTTTGTCATAGTGCCTGCCGGTCTCGGATGATAAGACAAAGCAAGCAGGTTGATGTCACTGGGCTGGTTTGATGCCGTGTGGCTGCCGTTGCTGATAGTGCCGTTCTCCGTGAGGCCGGAAGAAAAAGCTTGGAAGGAAGGTTAAGAGGTTTCGGTGCATGGTGACCGGTGGTGGTCGGGGAGGACACCGAGGCGGTCCCCCCCCTGTGTGAGAAAAGAGTTCTCCAAACCTCAAAGTGGATGATACTCAATGGGTCAGCCCGCAGCCATGGTGCTAAGGTGGACCACCTACGATATTTTCAATCCAAGTTCCTGGGGGTGTGTCGGCAACCCTGCCACAACTGCGACGAGGCCTGCAGCGGGAGGGCCAGAGACCGGTTTTTGAGTAGTGAAAAACCTGGAACGTCAACCCAGCGGCTTCTGTCTGCCGGGACGACTGCAACTCTGCCAGCGGGCGGGTGGCAGGGCTGGCGGGACCGCGCACGGTGTTCCCGGTAAGAAACAACGTTGATTCCTGGCAGAGGCGGCTGGGGAATTTCGATTTGTGAGAGATTGAGTGAAGTCGGTGTGGAGGTGTGAGTGAAGCCAAGCAACCGGCGGGTGTATGGTGCGCACCAAGAGATGGAGAAACAAACTTTGGCGCTCGAGAAGTGATGTGCAAAGGGGCAGGTCCAGACGGGAGGGAGCCAAGACCCGTGACGAATAGGGAAAGAAAGGCCTACCTACCTACTTACTGTACACTAGTTCCCGCAAACTCTGTGTCGAGGAGACCGAGGAGAGATGCTGCCCAAGAAGGACAAACAAGATACCTAGCAAAAGGCAATCACCACTCAGTCGGCACTGCCCATCTCAGGCAGCGTTAGAACGAGAAGGTGGGTTCCAGTTGCAGAAACAGCGGCCAATCATTGGCACAGTACTCCGTACTATGTACCGTATCCGTACATTGTATGCAGCTTTCAGCAGCCCCACTCACCCTCGACCCCCCCTCGTCGATGCTCAATGGTCCCACCCGCTGGCCAGTGCGCCGCCCAAGTAGAAACCACACATCTGCACCTTGACTTGGCGCTATGCATGGATGCGTCATAATGTATCCGTACCTACTTCCTTCCTTCTCGCCCAGACAAGCAGCATTATTCGTTCCTATCACGGATGAAAGGTTACCGGTTAGACGAGAAAAAGCAGGTGTGGGATCAACTTCTTCAACAAAGTGCCCAACATCAAGAACTTTGCTCCCAGCAGCAAACCTAGACAAGACTGTGGAATAACTGCACGATCGGGAGCGTGCGTAGGACATGTTTTGAATGGTCCTGAGAAACCAAGACACATGCTAACTTCCTATAGGCCACGCAGATCCAGGGCCCTGAACGTGCTGTGTATCCGTACGAATAGAATACCGGTAGGTAGATGCTGGCGGTGGCCTCCTCTTGTTCCATTTCCTGACCTCGGACCCTCGAAAAATAAGAATAAGGAACAGAAAGGGCCCCTCCTCGATCCAAGGGTCTTCGTCTCATGAATAGAGTCCCCCCTCCCTCACTCTCGTCTCGTCTCCACAGGCTGCACGTACTTCGTCCATTGCATAGGCAGCTACGCAGGAGGTACAGGTATATACGGATACACGTAGGTGGTACCGACAGCTGCCAGAGGCCATTCTGTCACATACCAAGTTAGAGTTCGGCCAGGCGAGAAAGCGGGAGTTGGGAAATGAGACAAATTTAGGTAGTTGAAGTACAGGTAGGTAGGTACCTCAACCAGACAGATGGCGCGGCGCACCTCACTTGGTAGCCTCCTCCCATCATCATCACCATCCATTCACCCTCTTGTCGATACCTGGCATTTTGCCCCAGACATCTCGATCGTGGGAGCAGTAGCACCAACGGGGGCAAGCAGCACAAGCGCCAGCACCGAGGGTTCGAAAACAGAAGGCTAACGCAGACCCTAGCGCCGGCTTGTGGCGTCACTACCTTCCAGCGCGACGGGCAGCCGAGACATTGGGAAACGCGCCCAATCTCCCAATCCTCACGTCACTCACTCACTCACTCCCTTGTTTCTCTTCCCCTCGGCGCATCGAGGCCAAGCCGTTGCATCAAGCACTCGCTTGCACCACTGCCTTGACCTCATTGCTAGTGTCACTGGTCTGATCTCGCCTGGTACATGTCATTCCCCCCCCTCCCCCCCCCCTCCCTTCGCCTGTCAAGTCTTCTTCACCCCCTGCCCCTGTCCCCGTTTGGCCCCCATCATAGGTACATAACCTACCTATATTCTTCGAGATCCTCTTAAAGGTTTTTTTCCCTCCCCTTCTTTTGAAACCCCATCTTTAATACTCATCGAACGACTGGAAGGTCTCCAATTCCTCATTATCGCCGCCGCCATGTCAGGCCTCGAAGATGCACAGAGTGGACAAGACAGAGGTGAGGCTCTCGGCGACAAATCGGGCAGCTCCATCTCTGGCTTGGTCAGCACCCTGGCTGTTTGCGCACCCATCGCCGGTGTTTACCTCGTCATCTTTCTCATCCTTCGTCGGAGCCAACGTCGGTTTTATGCGCCGCGAACCTATCTCGGCAGTTTGCGCGAAAGGTCAGTCCAACCAATAATCCCATTATGCGAAGCTACACCCTATCTCATCGTTCATCCCGTCTCTCATTTCGTCCCCTATATTTCGTCACCGCGTCTGGCCTTATCTTGTCTCATGCAATGCTCAGATGCTGACCACTTCGTAGTGAACGATCCCCGAGTCTGCCCAATGGCCTTTTCAACTGGTTCGGTCACTTCTGGAAGATCCCCGACATTTATGCTCTCAAGCACCAGTCCCTGGATTCTTATCTTTTCCTTCGCTTCCTTCGTATCTGCGCCACCATCTGCTTAGTCGGCCTTGTCATGACATGGCCTATCTTGTTCCCTGTCAATGCCACTGGTGGAGGCAATGCCGGCCAGCTTGACATTCTGTCCTACAGCAACATTGACGTCACGGTTCCGTCCGGCCTTAACCGCTTATACGCCCATGCACTCCTCGGCTGGCTCTTCTACGGTTTTGTCATGTACTTGATCATGCGGGAGTGCATCTACTACATCAACCTGCGCCAGGCCTTCTTGCTTTCGCCAACCTACTCCAAACGCATCTCGTCGCGCACCGTTCTCTTCACTTCTGTCCCCGATGCCTACCTGGATGAGGCCAAGTTCAAGAAGCTCTTCAGCGATTCCATCAAGAGAGTTTGGATCACTGGCGACACTGAGAAGCTGGATGACCTCGTGGAGGAGCGCGACAAGGTTGCTATGAAGCTCGAGAAGGCCCAGGTCAAGCTTATCAAATTGGCCAACGCCGCTCGCCTCAAGGCTGCCAAGAAGGGTGCTTTAGACGACAAGGCCCCGACCGCTCAAGATACCGAGTCCGCTGATGCCTCGGCTCGCTGGATCCCTCAGAAGAAACGCCCGACCCATCGCCTCGGCCCGTTGGGTCTCGTCGGAAAGAAGGTTGACACGATCGAATGGTGTCGCTCTGAACTTCAGCGTTTGATTCCCGCGGTTGAGGCTGCCCAAGCTGAGTACCGTTCCGGGAAGGCCAAGAAGATACCAGCTGTGTTTGCCGAATTTTTCACCCAGTCAGACGCCCAGGCCGCCTTCCAGGTCACCACTCACCACCAGGCTTTGCAGATGACGCCCAAGTACATCGGAATCCAACCTACTGAAGTCATCTGGAAGTCATTGAGGGTGTCCTGGTGGCAAAGAGTTGTTCGCCGGTATGCTGTTGTTGCCTTCATCTCCGCCCTGATCATCTTCTGGGCCGTGCCGGTTACTCTTGTCGGTATTATCTCGCAGGTTTCTTACCTGGAGACGGTTTCCTTCCTCACATGGCTCAAACAGATCCCCGATGTCATCATGGGAGTCGTCTCTGGCCTGCTTCCTAGTGTTGCCCTGGCCGTCCTCATGTCATTGGTGCCCGTCATCATGCGCCTATGCGCCAAGCTCTCAGGCGAGCCCTCTGACTCGCGCGTCGAACTGTTCACCCAGAACGCCTACTTTTGGTTCCAGCTGATCCAGGTCTTTTTGATCACAACTATTTCTGGATCAGCTGTCGCCACCATTCAGGCAGTCGCTCAAAACCCGGGCTCCATTTTCGGCACCTTATCCACGGCGTTGCCCAAGTCTTCCAGCTTTTACATCAGCTATTTCATAGTCCAAGGCATCACCCTTGCGACTGGCGTCCTGACTCAGGTGGTTGCGTTTGCTATTTTCGCGGCGGTGCTGAAGTTCCTCACCAACACGCCCAGAGCTCTGTACCAGAAGTGGTCTACGCTTGCGGCCATCTCTTGGGGAAGTGTTCTCCCCGTGTACACGACCATTGCAGTTATCAGTAAGTCGTCGCGCCCAGCATCCATATCCAAACTCTTCATCCGACTAACATAACCCCAGGCATCAGCTACGCCATCATTGCGCCCTTGATGCTGTTCTTCTCAACTTTGGGCATGGGCTTGTTCTACCTGTCATACCGCTACAACGTGCTCTTCGTCACCGACACCAAGGTCGACACTAGAGGCCTCTTGTACCCTCGCGCCCTCAAGCAACTGTTTTCTGGTGTTTACCTGGCAGAGATCTGTATGATCGGTCTTTTCGCCGTGTCGAAAGCCATTGGCCCTCTTGTTCTCATGATTGTCTTCCTCGTCTTCTCAGTCCTGTTCCACCTCACGTTGAGCAGTGTCCTCGACCCTCTCATGTACACACTCCCCAGAACCTTGCAGGTGGAGGAGGAGTCGTTGAACGCCGACATTGAGGGAATCGACCGCAAGGACTCGGGTAGAGGTGTTTCGGAGGAGCAAAACGCCGACTCAGGCAACTTGTTCAAGAAGGTGCCCAACATCAAGAACTTTGCTCCTGGCGGCGAAGAGAACACTGTGGGGAAGGGAGGTAACATGGTGACTCGGTTCCTCAAGCCTTGGATTTCCGTCGACTACCTCACGCTTCGCCAGCTGGTTCCTCACCACGCCGCTACCATCGACGAGATGTATCCTGGCACCATTCAAGACAACGCCTACTTTCCTCCTTCGGTCTCTAGTCTGCCCCCTCTTCTGTGGATTCCCGAGGACGCTGCTGGAGTATCCAAGTCGGAGATCGCCCAGACGAGCAAGATCATTCCCATCACAGATGAAGGTTGCCAGTTGGACGAGAAGAACAAGCTCGTATGGGATTCGGAGGCTGCCAGACCTCCTATCTGGGATGAGAAGATTTATTACTAAAGCGCGAGATTTCCTCGTCACTTGCGCATCATTGATACCCCTGCGAGTTTAAGCTCTCTCAGTAATGATAATGGGGCAAGCCCCATTGGTGTTTTCCTTGATCTCGTATGTAGGAGCAAATGACTTATTCAGCAATGCAGCATTTATTGACCACTCGTGAAACGCCAATGCCAATTGCAGCCTACGCGGGACTCGAAGAGGGCCACTCATGCGGTCTGAAGTGATGGCTTGCGGCGGACTTGGCTTTATTCTGGCCTGTCGACGAATTAATTGCCTGAGTTATAGAAAGGATAATGAAAATCAGCAGAGGGAGGGCAGTGTAAGATCGGCCTCATGATTGGGAAAAAAGGATGTCTAAAAAAACAACAATAAAATTCGTTAACCTATGCGCCTAGGAGGTCGCTGATACCTGCGTTTTAAACTAATACCTACCTATGTACCTGCCTGCCTAATCAATATCACGTCACCTACCTAAAATCTAGATTATAGAGCAACTGTACTCAAGGACGCTCTTTCCCGCTCAATATTTTCCGATAGCTAGCAAATGGATGGGCGATCAATTTTGCGTAGCACCACCCTCTTTCCTGGCAACAATATCGACTTGAATCCAACTCAGACGATACTACTTAGTATTCCCTTCCTCTGCATGACGATATCCACAACTTACCAACCTCGACTTCTTTGGTGTCTATATTGCTAACAGACGAGAAATGAGATTCCAGCCCAAGAGTGAACGACAAGTGGGAAACTGCAGATATGACTGATTCCGCGTCCTTGGCACCTGGCACCCCAGATCCGACAGAGGTCCTGAGCTCACCTGTGGCAGGTCCGTGTGAAGGTGGTGGCCGCTATGATGTTACAGTCTGTTGCGTGGACTGAAAAGTAGGTTTTGGACGCTGGCAACGCAACAGACTGTATGCAGATACCATTACGGCAGCCTGCAAGGCTTACTCTGTCTTTTTAACAGTGTAGTTACAGAAACAGCAGGTGTACCTGGAGCTATAAGAAAATTCTTATTACCCTACTTATCTATTTATTATACTAGATTTATTAGCTATAGCTTTATGCCTATAGACAGTTAAAAAAATTAGCAAGGCAGTTAGACCTATAAAAAATTGACCCTAGATCCTTACTAGTGTAGTGCCTGATTACTTCTAGTAATAGTAGGCAAGTGCTAGTAACAGTAGGTAAGTGCTGGTAATAGTAGGCAGGCGCTGGTAACAGTAGGCATGCGTTAGCAACAGTGGGCAAGTGCTGGCAACAGTGGGCAGGCGCTGGCAACAGTGGACAGGCGCTGGCGACAGTAGGCAGGCGCCGGCAGCAGTGAGCGGACACCTAGCAGCACCTGTCACTATGTTATTAAGCTAATCATATTACACTATTACTTGTAATAAAGCGGAAAGACTAATCAAGAAAGGGGGTGGTTATATACGCAAAAATAGATTTTCCTTTTTCAAATTTGAAAAGACGGAGTAAGCCTTGCCGTACACCACCCCAGCTTCCACCACCCCAGCTTCCACCTCTCACATCCCCGCACCCCATCTTTAGTAGTAATGGACGCGGCGCATCGACGCGGCTGACAACCCCAACAACCAAATCGTCCATCGGCAACCTTGAACGGTATTCCGTCACCACACAGCAGTCGCCAACCGCGAAAACGCGACTTTCATCCCTCGTCGCCTTCATCCAGCGTAGACAGAGTCGGGCTCCCCACACAACCATGGCTGAGGCTCTGCTGGGCCTGGCGCCTTCGTATGGCGACGCGCACAGCGGCAAGCCGCCGATTGCGCATCCCGATGACCTTCCGCGCCTGCTCCGCCGCGACCTCGAAACAAAGAAAACACCCACACGATGCGAACACATCTCCATCACACTCGAAGTACCGTCGACTGTTGAATTTGCCATTCAAGCAAGCGACGGCGATGCGCAAGAAATCGTTGACCCCGCCTTGGATGGTGTTCAAGCACACGCCGTCGGGGGCCAGCCTGTGAAGATCGTGCGCGCCTACGACACCATTATCAACCAACCCCACGACAATCCAGCATTTCAGCGAGCCGTGGCGAAACATATCGCGGGAATCTTGTCGGTTGCAGACGAGAGCACATGGGTGGTTCGAGAGGTCTCGCGTGGCCAGTACGGCTGGTCCTTCACCTACATCTGCAAGGACTCCGTGGCCATGTGGAACAGGCAGAACGGGAAGACGGTCGCCAAGCCTATCATCGGAGACTTCAGCCAGAAGGATCTGGAACCCGACGTCTCAGGTAAGAAACCCCACGCGATTCGCGACGGCAGCACCTATTGATCATGCTCCAGGCCGGCCGGCGTTCGACTGCCGCGGCGTTCTCACCATCGCCTTTTCCAAGAACTCGCGAACCATCAGTGTCAAGTACGAACATACGCCCTTCCATAAGACCGTCGGTGAGATGATTGAGCATTTCCGGCCGCTACCCCCTGCAGCACCGCCAGTTCACCTGATTCCTGCTGGCGACAGGCCGAAGAAGGCCAAGACGCCAAGAAAGAGAAAGAGCGAGGCGAATGCGGACGGGACGCCCAGTGTGCCAAAAAGGAAGAAGAGGAAGAGTGAGGCGAATGAAGACGGAACACCTGGTCAGCCAAGGAAGAAGAGAAAAGAAAACCCAGATGCAGGCGCTGGAGGTGCGCAGGAAGAGGCTGTCGGCGACGGCCAAACGACAACCACCGCCCCGACCAAGGCGGATGCTGCTGTGCAAATCGGCGTTCATGAACATGCAGTCCTCAACGTCCCCCCGGCCGAAGCAGCTCGACGTCGTGAGGTTGCCATTAGACTCCTCAGTGGCAGCGGCGTAGATCCAGAAAGCCTTTCTGCGGAGCAATTCAGTATCTTCGCCAACCAATCCCCGGATCTTCAGAAGGAGTCTCTTGCCATGCTGGTCAAGTATGGTGCCGAGAGACTCCGAATTGTGCATCCCAGTGATGCCGCTGCGTCGTCGTCAACAACCGCGTCCCCCGCCCCCCAGCAGGCCACAACAGCTGAGTCGGAAGCCGACGATTCAGAGGTCACATCGGAAACCCCCGCTCCCGCAAAGAAGAAGCGGCGGCCGCGGAAGTCTAGCCAGGTGGCTGGCGATGCCGAGGAAGCAGAGTTGATCCCCGCACCGGCGGGCACGCCATTGAAGCAAGTCTCGAGAGGTTCCTGCATTGCCTGCAGAAGGGCCAAGGCCAAGGCAAGTCGGCGTTGTTTCGTGCAAAGTTCACCGTCTAACTTGAAACTAGTGCGATCGAGCCAAGCCTACTTGCTCTCCATGTGGAGAACAAGATGTCGAGTGCCAGTATCCCCTTGTCAGAAAACAGGTGGCCAAGACGAAGGAAGACAGCCCCAAAACGCCGGTGGGCAATGGCGATGATGACGATGCCGAAGCAGAGCCGGAACCGGAGCACGAGCCCATCCCGGAGCACGAGCCCATCCCGGAGCACGAGCCCATCCCGGAGCCTGCTGTGGAAACTGAAGAGCAGGAGCCTGACGACATCGAAACCATCGATTACACGTCAAACATGCCTGTTGCCAACATGATCACTCCTGCTGTCGAGCCTCCCAGTCAGGACTACTTCAACTTTGGTAATAACGAGCTAGCATTCACTCAAGATTCTTCCAGTGAGATGAGCATGTCTCACGGCGCGTCCTCGTATCCAGAACCTTCGGCTACCGTAACCTATACAGAGCAACAGACGGCTACCACAAGTTATGAGCAGACTTCTTCTTCCCTTACTGAGACGGCGACTTATACTCAGCCAAGTGCGGACACATCGGGCTACGTCCAGCCTACCAACACGGAAAATGCTGGCTACTTGCACACTACTACTGACACCAGCAATCTCAACTACGCTCAGCCTGCGGCTGAAAGCAAACGGTCGACAAGAGACCCCACAACACGGCGTAGCTTGCCAACCGAGCAGCCGCAGCAGTCTACCGCCGAAAACCCTGCCCATCCTTCGAACTACACGCAGAATTGGCATGACTCGTCACCCTCCAAGGTGACAAACATGCCGTCACCCACCACAATAGCGCAGCAACACCTGTCGTGGAAGCAAGCTCAAGCACCTGCACCAGCTGCTGCCACGCAGCAATCGGCTTCTCTTGGCAACCATGGCCAAACCCAACAGACTGCATCTTACGCCGCTATGCAACAGCAGCAGCAGAAATATCAGCCTTCTCCCCCGCAGCAAGTGGCTCAAGTAGCTCAGGCGCCTAAGCCTGTTACCCCTGCGCAAGTCTCGCCATTGCAGGCTCCGGGACAAGCAGCTCGGACTAAGAGTAGGGCTGGCCACCGAGCGTCAACTCACACGCCTGTCAATGAGCAACGGCCCCCCTCTCCTCAGCAGATTGTCCAGCCGTCCACTCAGGGGACTACGGATACCAGTACATTCACCAATACCCAGCACAATACCTATAATACGAAGTATTCCAACGCAACTAACACAACTGAAGTCGGCACGAGACTCACGACGTATCAGCCTTGCACGGCACAGACCACCTCTGCAAACACGACGACTTACCCGTCTTACGACTACGACAGGAGTAACAACACTACGTCACAAAGAACGACTCTGGCTTACACTCCCAGTAACATTCCGCAAACTAGACAGTTGTACAGTACCCAACCACAAACTCGTAATAAGCAGGCTTACGGTAGCAACGGTGCGAGTGCGTCAGCTGCTAGCTCCTACACCCAACCCTCGTCGACTGCACCGCAGCAGTCTTCCACGTTGCAGTCATTCAACACCCGAACCCCGCCGACAGGCAGTCAAGCCAGGTCATCCACCAGACCCAACAATCAGCGACAACACCAGCAGCACCAACAGCAGCCGCAACAACAGGCACCCTACAGTTCGTACTCCTCCCAGACGCACCAGCAACCTCACCAGCCGGACCAGCACAACTGGTATGGTTTCGGGTCGGGCATTACTGGCTCGTTTTCGTCAGCCAATGTTTCTGGAGGGTACGCAGCTCGCGGCAGCGCTACTACGAACTACGGCGCTGGCTCGAACGTGAGCAACCCTAACCAGGCATACCAGCAACAGCAACATCACAGCTCTGTCCTGATACCAGGCCATAACTATGCCGAAGGCGACAACGACATGTATGAGCTGCTCAAGAGTTCTCTTCACGGCCCCGGGCGCTGAGCGACATCGCTCGCATATTGAGTTGGGTCTCTTCCTCGTGCCCATATTGAGTTTGTACGCATTATCACTCTAGGGGCCTGGTCTCTAGCAAGCAAGCAAGGAAGCAGAGACTGGTAGAGGAGCGGCTACGACGCCGGGCGGGCATTAATCCAGATGTATGTCCTCTGGGCCTTGGCGATATTTCCTAGAGACGGGGCCTACGGAATCATCTTAACATTCCCTGTATTCTAATTCTTGTAGGCCATGGGCGGCGTCTCACGCGCGCCAACCTGGCAGAATGGCCCAACACATTCAACCACATGACGACTTGTTCTGGGTGACGTGCTGCATAGAAAAGCGATGAGTTAGCTAGCCTATTGATATGATATCCCCGCAATGCTAATATTCCGTGCCACTCGACCACGTGACGGAATGGCCTGAAGGCGGTGTAGTCTTTCACATTGTTGACCCCCCCTTTTCTCTCATTAGTTGCCACCAATCCTGGGCTCGTTACCTTTCGTTGAAGACATGTCGGCAGCGTCAAATCTTTGCCGGAGGCAGGCGTCTCTCCATAACCGGAAAATCGTCCGTATCGGCTCGGCAACCCGACTTGAGCACTTGGTCGAGGACGTGCTAGGTAGACCATAACCCTTTACCCGAGGGATAGTATCACCCTGCTCGCTCTCTTGGATAACAAGTGTAGCGGAAGATTTCTGGCGGAATGTCTAAGCCGGAGCCCCCCCCTAAGATGAATCGGATGTCATTTTTGCAGAGGATGCTTTTGATATCATGATGCAACGCACAAAAAGTGAAATACTTGAGCTGTATACCACGGAGCTGAGGGGAACATGATTGACAGTACTAGACCTACACAAAGTTCACTTGTTTTGTTCTCCTCCGCCATCTGCCGAATGCTTCCCAACACGTCGATGCAATCCGTCCTATGTGCCCCCGCCCATCACGTCACATTCCACGTCCCTATTAGCCCAAATCCTTCCTATTTCTTACAGAGCCATCACTGTCCCCCCCCCCCTCCCCCCTCAGGAAAGCCAGTGTCATAACCTGGCCCGTGGTCCTTGGGTGTCACTGAGGTCGCGCTGCGACGGCGGCCTCAGGTACCTTATCTGTCAATCGACCGTTTTTAAACGACAGAAGCACGACGACTTGATGGGGACGTCGGCCACGGCCAACGCCAGATTCAGCTGCGGCTTGAGGATCCTGGCCTCGTCGTGGCGCCCGAGCTTCACCAGACACTCGTAGAACCCGTGCAGGCCCCAGACGTTGTTGGGGTGCCGCAGGGCCCGGGGCAGCGTCTCGTCGATGCCGAGGTCCGCGCTGTAGACGCCCGCCGCCTCCGCCACGCGGCCCTGCTCCAGGAGCAGCGCGCCGAGGGCGTGCCGCGCCGGCTGCATCCAGCCCCACGGCTCGTCGTAGGGCAGGGCGTCGTCCCTCTCCACGGCCTTGCGCAGGTGCCCGAAGGCGGTCTCGTACTCGCCCTTCCGGTAGGCCAGCTCGCCGTCCAGCATCGCCTCCGCGATCGAGAGGATCTCCTGGCACGTGTTGTTGAAGACGGCGCGAGACGGGGGCACCCGCTCCGCGGCCCTGGCGAACAGGACCCGCTGCTTCTCCGCCTCCTCCACCCTGCCTTGAACGGCGAAGGCGACCCCCTTGGCGTAGTGCGTCATGGCCGTTGTCGAGCAGTAGAGCTGAGAGTCCCGAGGAAGCTCGAGGGCGTGTATGTCGTCCCAGCGACCGAAGCGGATTAGCGCGTGCATCCGCATGCCGAGGAAGCCCTCCAGCCAGTCCGCCATGGGCGGCGACTTGACCCGCAGGAGATCTTCCGATATGGTCGATTCGAGCTCCCCCACCGTTTCGAGTGCTACTTTGGACTGGCCGCACAGCATGGAGGCATACAGCCTGAAATGGAAGTCATGGGAACGATACAGGGTATAGAAGTTCAGTGGGCCTTCCCGGGCAAGGAATTTAGAGTCAGCACGGATGGCGTCAGAGTTGGAGGCTATGGCCCGGCGGTATTCGCCGCATATGATGTCGAGATGGGTGGGCATGTGCTCCAGATGGCCCGCGTCCGGCACGAGCCCGCGCAGGTTGTCGGCTATCGTGAGAGCGGCCTCCGGAGTGGGCGACATCTCCATGAGGTGGATGTACAAGTGAAGGAGGCCCGGGTGCTGCAGAGAGCCCTTCACTCTGAAAGTCCGGTCCATCACGTCTTTGATCTCCAGCGTCCTGGCACCAGGGATGGGCTTCCCCGTCCTGTAGTTCCACAGCTTCCAGGGCGTGACATTCATCGTGGCATCGGTCCAGAGGGCAACCACATCAAGGTCGTTGGGATGGGCCTGCAGCACCGTATCCATGGCCCGGGCGTAGTCCTCGTTCCATTGCGAACAGTCGCCCGCGGGCGTCTCTTGCGGGTACCGGCACGCGAGGGCGTTGATGAGGGCCACCTCGACGGGCATCGCCTTGGCGAGGTGGCCCTGTGCCTGCAAGATGGTGCGATGAGCGCGCTTGGTGGTCTCTGCTAGGTCTTGCCCGTCAAAGACTTTCCACGGCTTGTTGTAGTTGGGCCCCAGCACGAACGCGAGCCCCCAGTAAGCCATGGCGCAGAAGGGGTCATGGTCAATGGCCTTTTGGAAACATCTCGCCGACTCCCCGTGGTTGAAGGCATACGCCCAGGTCAAGCCGCGGTTGAACCAGATTTGGGCATCTGTGCTTGTCGTACTCACGGGGCGGTGAAAGGAGCCGAGATTGTACGGGTAGGACTGGTCAAGATGGGAGAGGACGGCGGACGAGAAACCCTTGCTTCTCATTTTGAGCTGATTTCACTGGTTGAGCGATAGTCCTGTTGCCGTATTGTTCACTACCTAACCAGCATGGAGGGGGGGAGGCAAAGTTAGGGATCGTTGTTGGGGGGTAGTAGTCGATTGGTTGAGACATCTGCTGTCATTGATGTGTTGGTCGGTGTCTCATGCCGGACTATCATTTCGCCGCTTGCTTGCTTCCCTTCCCCCTCGTCGAACATGCGGTGAACTTAAATCCATCTCCCGATCCTCCAAGAAACATTCCTGAAACCCCGATAAGTCCAAGCACCGATATACACATAACGATTAGTCCCAAACACATGTCCCGCCGTTGATTTCTAGCATCATCGGCTCTGTTGTCAATGAATCATTGGTTCTGTCAATGCAACGACCGCCACCCCTCCCCTCCCCCCAAAAAGTTTTGAGGTCACGGGCAGCTTACGACGGAAAACACCGGATCTGACTATCGCAGGGTCACGATGCTCCCTGAAATGATTCAGCCGTACCATGGAAGTCCAGAAGCTGCTAGTACTAATTGCCTTCTTCAGGTGGTCTGCGGTCCTTGTGTTTTAGTCCTAGGACTAGCTCGATTACTAATCATCTTGCCTGGTTCCAAATGATGAGGGATCTTTGTGCGTTGGCAATAGGTGTAAGTACTAGCTAGCGGTGCTTGTATGTCCATATGAGCCGCTGCTATTCCACGATTTATTCACCTGATCCATAGCAACATATCTATAGTCTTGAAAAGACGGTGTTAGAGGTCATGACTCAAACCTGCTGGCTTTAAAGTGGCTGCAGATGTAAGTGAGCAATTAATAAGTGAATGAGAGCAGGAATCATGACCCTATGTCTGACGTCTAACAAGTCAGTGCCCTCGAACATGACAAAATATTTTTGAGACTGATTGTGATCCTTGATACAATTAAGCACGAAGAACAAGACAAAAAAAGGATTAACATAGTTTCCAATTTAAGAAAACAAGGCTGGTGGATAAGCAAGACCATGTAAGACCTGCTCGGCATAACCAATGACAGCACTCTGAAGTCACTGTGCCAACGCTGATTCGTTATGTTAATATTCTTAAGCGCATAATCGGTATTCATGATAATGGGAAACCACACAAATATGTACATCATTTTGCAAGATGGTGAGACCCTGTGCCGACTTCCGTTTCTGTCACGATGCCCCCCGTTGTCGTCGGGCCTTCGTACCCCTTTCTAGCCCCCATCAGCCACCACAAGGCAACCAAGATAGTGAAGCCTCCCCAAATCAGACATGCATAGTTCATGGACTGTGCATCTGTAGGGAGCGCGTAAGGGAAAGAGTAGATGACAAACCAAACCAGCATGTATGCGCAGGCAAAGCCATTGACGGCAAAGCCGATCCATCCACGCATACGAAACGGCCCGTAAGCGACCCGAGTCCTTCCTGCCAGGAGGTTGGGCAAGATAGCGGCAAGATAGGAGCTGCTGGAAAGAAGAATGAAACTTCCAACAAAGGCGTTGAAAGCGGTAGTGCTGCCAACATAGATTGCCCCAAGGATTGATACTAACACAGCGGAAAAAATGGTAGACCACACTGGCATTCCCAGTCTGGAATTCACTCTTCCAAAAACGCCGGGTCTGGGGCTGGCCCCGTCACGAGCGAGCGCCCAAAGTGTACGGCCACAAGTGATGTACAATCCTATCAGTGTCAAACCAATGCAGACGAGTACCAAGGCGAGCAGACCAGTCGCGCCGGCAGCAGATCCGGTGGCCTGGCGGTAAATTTCGGCAATGGGATACGGAGACTCGAAGAGGGCGTCGTAGTCATTGATGGCGTACATGACGGCGACCAGATAGCAGAAGCCGGTGATGAACCCGATGCTCATTTGCAGTCCCACGGCGATGGGAACGTTGCGCTGGGGGTTCGGGATCTCCTCTGCCAAGTGAGTTGTCGCATCAACAGCACCAACGCTGAAAGCTCCGTTAAGCATGCCGGCAACGAAGACGAATCCGTTGGGGTATCCGATGTCGGCGGTCCACTCGGTCCAGACAAAGGAGGAGGAGGCATGAGGCGGCCGTCCGTCGTGGCCAGGCATGACAGCGACAACGATGACGGTGATAAGAAAGCCGGCCAAGATCGCAAAGACTCCAAAATCATTGATCCGAGGCATGGCGCCATTGGCCAGACACACCATGGCGCAGGCGATCCACGTGGCGATGATGTAGACGATGAAGACGTGCCAGGGCTTCGCTTCAAACCCCGCGTGGTTGAGGGCGTACATCTGCACGACCGTGTTACCAAAAATCGACGCCATGCTGGCTGCGCCGAGGATCCAAGCCAGGTAATTCCACCATCCGGCGAAGAAACCAATCACGCGTCCCCATCGGCGGCCAGGCGTGACGGACGCAAAATGGTACACGCCCGCGGACGAAGGAATGGCGCTCGCTAGCTCCGCAATGCTGGCGGCGACGGTCCAGTAGCAGACGGACACAGCGACGAACTCGTAGAGCACGCCCGGGGGCCCGCCGTTGAAGATAGCGACGAGGATGGAGCCGCCCACCGCTGGCCAAACGTTGCCAACGACGAGGCCGACGCCAGCCAGGGAGAGGAGACTGAAATTCCGCTCCAGTGCCTGTACATGACCTGATGCGTTGATGGCGACATTGTGCTGGTCAACCGGGAGTGTGTTGTTGACGTCGGCGACCGCCGCATTGCTATGGCCGTGCGATTTGCTCTCAGAATCCATACTTGGTATCCGCCGACCGCCAGATTGTTCAGATTGGCCTGCGGATCAAGGAGATATTTAGAAAAGGGAGAGCCGCGAAAGACTTGCGTAGATACACAATGAAATGCGACGTGTGGTTATAACATATTAACGGAAGACGATGTAGGCACCCACTTCCGCCAGCAACCCTGTATTCATGTCGATTTTGGAGCCGCTAACTTGATAAAGCCCGATTGCCGACGGCCCTGAGGTCGATAATGGCCAACTGGTGAGGCCTCTGTCGCAGGTAATCGGGGGTTGCCACTAGTCTCTTGATAAATCCCCCTGGCAGGTATGTCAGGGGCAGACTGGCTGACCACTGAAATTCCAGACACTTATCCGACACTGCAGCTGGCCCCTTACTAGGTGCATATCCTCGCCGAGATGAAGCTTTTGGCCAGTGCTTCTCGATTTTGGCAAGGATTCTGCCTATAATGCAATATACCCACCCAGCTGGAGCCGCATGTTGCTCGAGACGCCGTTAATCACGTACCGGTACTTTTAAGATGCGGAACTCCCCCGCAAAGCTGATGAAACAAACGTCGATGAAAAGATAATCAATTGTGGGCACCAGCTCGATCCACCGATTGCATGGGTGGAACGAAAATCTTACGCGAGAGTTTGACCAACGATGCGGGGGGATTGGTGCTTCTTTTTTTGGCGACGAGTAAAGTGGCACGAATGATATTGACAACGAAGAAAGGACTTGAGGAGACCCATAAGCAAGCATATTTAACCATGAAATTCTGGGTGAAGTGTACCTACTCTTGTCGGGCCAACGAAGTTAGAGTTATTTTTCTTGCGGGTGCGTAGCTAGTTGGTCGTGAAAGGTCAGTAAGCTTAGACAAACGTAGCTCTCTAAGAGTCTTCACCTTCTAAAAACCGAAGGATTACTTCGATTAGTGTTCATTATCAGCTCAACATACATATGTAGTACTTCTGGCGACTAATATCTAGGCGAGATGAATTCCAAGATGACGAAACGCCGACCAGAGTTACTTAGGTATTGCTCCGTTCCATAGCTCAACTCGTCTGTAGTAGAACAATTAGAAATCGGAATCTTTTGCGGTGCTTTTTGACTGTCACTGTCGGATCACGGCTGATAGCATTGAGTGTCCAAGCGCATAGAGTAGAGCTACCACCGTAACAGTGGCAGAAATTTATGAGCTGTCAGCCATCATAGAATACGACAAGTACAAAAAGATCGTTTTTGTTATTTTTTAGATACGATATGTAGAAAATGCTCACACGGAAACAAAACAGACATATACCGTAACTGGCGGTGCCTAGGGGCTAAAAGCCCTGTTACGTACTGTGACAGACTACTTCCACAACTACACCGCGTTGCAAACCAAATTACACACCAAGAAAGTAATTCATGGAGATGATCTCATGTTGTTTGGTACTTTGGACCTGCGTAGTCCCACAATCCCATACAATCAGTCATTGGGCCAGTAACGGATAGGACCGTCGATACTCTTAGCGGTAGAGAGACCAATGGGCACTTCGAAGCCTTGGGGCGGGTGCAGGGCATCATTAACCTCGATGATATTGCGGTAGTAGCTAGGCAGACCCGAGCCGTACCACAGGCTGGCAATGGCAGGCAGCACGGTGCGGTAGCCACCTCCAAGGATGTCGAGATTCGGGGCGACGTAGCTGTGCGGGAGATTGCAGCCGTTGCTGAAAACGCCACCATAGCTCTGGTTCCAGTAGTAGTTAACGAAGCTGTCGCCAGCAATGGTTTCGTTCCAATAGCGAAGGGCGTCGCCCGTCTTGGAGCCGATGAAATTCCACACATTGGCACCAACGTCCCATCGACCGAGGGTGTGCAGGTTCCAGTTCGCCTGTACCGACGACATCTCGCTGTAGTGGTTGTAGTAGGCGCTGTCAGAGGTACCTACCAGGTAACTAGGGATAGCTGAGCCGAGAAGAATACCGGCTACATGGTTGCGAGCCAATGGGTACTGTCCGTTGGCCTGCCATGTGATGTAGACAAGCGTCTTCCCGTCGTTGAAATTGGGGTTACTCAATAGCGGCTCAACGAAGCTGCGAGTCCAGTTGCATGACACGGTGATGTTGGTGTCATGTCCGTTGTGAGACAGGTTGGGCGTGACGAATAGCCACTGTGGAAGGCGGTTGTTGTTGAGGTCCTCGTAGAAGAGCGTCAAGTTCTTCAACTTCGCCAGGCGCTCCGAGTCAAAGCTAACCGAGTCGAAGCGTACGAGGAGGTTATGCTTGCGCGCGTAGTTTCCCTCAACAGGGTTGGTGTACGTCAAGCCCTCGAATCCCGAATAGGGAAGCCCCTCGTTGTAATCGCCCCAACTAATTCCCTTGTCTTCGAGCAGGTCAACCATGGTGGACACGTTCTGGTTGAACAGGAGGAATGAATCGCTGTTAACACCCCAGATATCACCGCTGGCCGGTGCCACGTAGTTGGGCTGACTGGGAGCTCCTGCTCCGTACATATTAGACAGCAAGATGCCTTGTTCGATGAGAGCCTGGCAGTTGGGGTCGGCAATGGCGTTCTCATATGCAGTTGTCTCAAGGTAGACCTGCATGATGCGATTGAAGACTTTGCCTGTAACGTTGGACACAGGCGACAAGGTCAAGGCAGTCGCTGCCGCCGCTGCCACAGCTCCCGCCTCTGTCTCCGTGTATCGAAGGTCAGCCGGCGTCGATGTAGTCGATGTCGACGTAGTTGCTGTCGACGTGTACTGGCTGCCAATCGAGGTTGACGTGTACTGACTACCAGTCGAGGTCGAGGTGTACTGGATGACTGACGATGTCGCCGTGCACTGATTGTCAGTTGTCGAGCTAACTGGTGTGGCCGAGGGTGGTGGCCAGTAGCCACCGTTGCCATATCCATCATTGTCGTAGCCATGCCGACCAGCGATTTCGTTAGGGACGCCCATTGCCATGCCTGCGGCGACAAGAAGTGAAATGATGCGCACCATCTTGCAATGTTCAAGATTATTGCTACGGTTATGTAATACTGGAGAGTCTTTATCTCAACGAGTGCGAAAGTGGAGAGAAAGGAAGCAAGTAATTGGGTTAACTGATGTAAATGAGATGCAGATGAGTAAAAGAATGAAAACGCCAAGAAGACGACAACAATCTCTGTATATACTTGTTCAAGCACCACCGTATACCCCGAAGCTCGCACGAGTGGCCCATATCACCCACGGAATCTGCTGCCAGCATGTAGGCCATGTAAGCCACGATGTAGGCCCTGTAAGCCACCATGGCTATGTTGTCGATGCCGACCATGTCGGCTAGGCTGCTCATGTGGGCATGTTAGCTGTTCATGTGGACATGTTAGCAAGATCGACGATGTCTCATGTGTCCATAGCGACCACTTCCATTTTTGCAACTGACGGTTCCTGAGGGGCCCAAATTTCTCCGATCCGATAATCGTCTTGGGGTGTATCAGACAGTGACAATGGAGCCCCAAACCAGTTAGTTCTTTATGAATGGGAGGAAAGAGCATATTTTGGACGTAACAAACAGAAATCTGGAGATGTTTCGTCTCGAGAACTGCGTATATACCCCAGATCGCGAATACCATTCACACGGAACCCGTAGTTGGCCACTGCCGCTCGGAAGGGGCTGTTCACACCCTCAGACTCTTGAATGATTCCATGTTCTGTTTAGTTCCGAGCTCTTTTCAGCCGTTCCTTGATGTATGATCCAAACTTGCAGCATGGGTGAGCACTAAATCTAGATCTATCGGGGAATAATCTATTGTAAAAAGCTTAACGTCCTCTACACCTTACCAGGAGGTTATTAGTTCAGGGGTACTACTATCTAGTCACGGCCTTACCCTGCTCACGTTAAATATTCTATCCAGCACTGGAGCTGACTAAAAGTGACTAGATGTGATGTTAGTGCTTAGGAGCTTGGCCACATAGCTTGGTGGCTGAGCACCGCTAGTGTGAGACAGTGTGACGCAGCTGAATCTAACGTAAGAACGGCCGAGTTTTACCAGATCGGGGCATTTTAGGTTATTGTCTAGCTTGGCTTAGCTTGGTCAATTGGGAGAAAAGCAAGAAAATATCATGGTCAAGAGACCTCACGATTGAATTGCCTTTCATGACTTCGACGAATGGAAGAGGCACCTTGGATAGATATGTTTTTAAGAACGGAACATGAGAGGGACGAATAAAAGTTTGGATACAACTCTCCTAACAGTGATGATCTAGCGATGAGGATTGGTTAATAAGACCAGACATTCAATATCCATCCTCAAACCGTTCATGTAAATATGAGGGGGCCGACAGTGCGAAACTTTTCAGCGCCCCTATGACAATTTTCTCAGCGGTTGAGTATTGTTGTAAACCAGATCCATAGATCGCAGTTCTAAATCCGAGTCACTTTCCAAATTTCATGAACGTGAAATCCAGTATTGAGTAATTACAACGCACACCACTTTAGCCTCGCAAAACCACAGGACTAGCCACGATTAGTTAGTGGTTCTATGATGGAGCGCAGAATTGATGATGTTATTAAGTAAGCAGTCAAAATATGCTAGGATGATGAATAGGTGATGCAAAGCATGAAGTTCAAGTATAGATAATTATTGAATTCGTGCATCTGAAAAAAGGGTCAGACAAGCTTTCTTCACCCTGTTTAATAACGACCGCAGAGCTGGTATCTTTTTGGACAATTTGACTCGAGAATATTCTGATTCCAAAGCTATTAAGAAGCATTGTGGTTCTAGGTAAACCAAAGCAGTTTGAGACCGTAGAAACCTAACCTCTGACGACTACAGATTTCCACCTTGAGACCGTTCAACGTGACCACCCAGCTCATTAATCTGACAAAGTAATCCTAACCAGACAGTAATAAATTTGAAAACACTTGTAAGGAAGTAAGGAAAAGAAAATAGACGTAAAGCAAGAAGGTTACAGGTTCTCCAATTTGTGTTGTCGCCGCTGGAACCCTGAGGCATTGGCTTTTTATCAGGAATTATACGGACATGAGTTCTGATCTAGATCCTTTGGAAGCAATGGGAAGTAGAAGATGGGCTTAATTAGAATGTTTTACCAAAAGGCCATAATGGTTTGAGTTTATTGATCCACTAAGATGATCGTTTCATCGAGTTCTTATGGGTAGCAGAGCTTCCCGATACATTGTTGATATAAACCCCATTGCTGGCATATGGGAGGTGTGCTCCGGGGAGGTAGGTCACGTGATATTCACGTGACCCACCGCCACCCCGGCAGTATCCACCCTTCCCCTGCAACGCAAGGGTATTGCCACAAGTGGGTGCCCGTAAGTCTAGATACAACAACCACAAGAACACACCACGATCCTGTTCACATTCATATGTGACTTGGGATATCCCTTCCCTGTGATAACCAACACCCATACATTCTGAAAGGGTTAAACTGCATTATAGCGGAACACCAATATCGCTATCCATACCGTTCAGTGCTGCTGTTTATTGGTATTGAGTTTGCACTAAGTTATAGTTCAGAGGGGAAGCCAATGGTTGGTCCCTCCAAGTGCACTTGATGCAAAGTAAAAGTATGAGACGATGAGAATACGAAGCGGGGACTGGCGCTGTTGTCCTCTCATAGCACCGAACTATCTAACGTGATCACTAACACGTGCCAATCTCTGACGTTACCGGACTACGCTATATTAATGAGCGAGTGCAGCCGCTAATTGTAAGGCGAAAAGCACCAATCCGATCTGCTACCGCTAATATGCAGTCGTTTATCACATCAATTACGGTCCTTGCCCTTTGGAATCTTCAACTGTCAGTGGGCTATGCAGCACGACAGCCATATGATGTACGAAAGATCATTGACGCTTTTCGTCATCGGCATGACGATCTGACCATTCTGTGTGCCCACAGAGGGCTGAGGTACGCTTTTGCAATGGCACGATGTTGGCTAAACCTTATTGTCGACAAAGCATTGGGGACTAACCTCAACTAGGTGGAACGGCACGACAGAGAACTCTCGGGATGCCTACTTCCGGGCCTCGGAGGCTGGATTAGAATGTATCGAGACAGACATACATCTTTCTCAGGATGGTTATTTGTCGATGATTCACGACAGCGGCTTAGGGCGCACCACAGATGTTGGCGAACAGACTCAGCAGCCAGCTTACAACCCGTTTACGGGCAAGGGGTATAATCCGCTAGTCATACAAAGCAGTTTCAAAGGCTTTATCGAAAACCTGCACCTTCGAGACGAGCTGGGAAGAGTACACATTGAGACCGTCCCGACGTTGCCGGACATGGTCCATAGCATATATGAAACGGGTGTCAATATTGTGCTCCAGCTCGATTTCAAGGACAAGGCTGCGGTAGAGCCGGCCTACTGGGCGTTGAAGAACCTCAGCAACCGAGCTGGTGTGCCTGCGAACGAGTGGTGTATCTACAAGTTGCAAGCCAAGTGGTGGAAGAGCCCTGCGGAGTTCGAAGCATTAGACTGGGTCAAGGATGCCTTTGCCTCCGGCGTTCAGCTTGCCTACATTCCCGTCTACAATCCCGAAGACGAGACATCGTGGAATACTCTCGAGTCTCTCATGGAATGGGCCAAGACCAATTATACAATCAGCGCCGAATTCGAGATGTATTCCACGGGTGCACCATTGCAAAATCTGCAAGACTACGTTTTATATAACACCACAGCGACTGACTCATTCAGTACATCTGGAATCTTGTATGCTTTCACCTCCAACCATAGTAGAAGCCCATGTACAGGCACTGTGCATCTTAGCTGACTATACAACAGCTATGCACCTGGAGACTTCGTCGACTTCATTACCTCAAATCTTACGCGATTCGACACAGCAAACTACAGCATCCCGGCAGATATTCGAAAAAACAACTCTGCATATAAATTTCGGGAAAACATGGCTCCTGCGCTTTACGACTCGGTAGTTGGGAACAAGTCATTGGATGGCCATGATCACCGAAGCGACTTTGACTGGATTATGAAGCAGGGCTTCCAGTGGGTCATCACTGACACTGCAGACTTTTGGGACGCGCAGTTGCGAGCTGAAGGGCGTCGCAATATCAGCTATATGTTGGCTGGCAAAGAAGTCGATGGCGTTTCGAACGGTTGGTACCGACGACATACTCGGGATTTTACCGGGGCGTAATAGCTGGTAATTCGGCAAAAGGGGGATCGCGGTTTCTCCTTGCAACCAAATCCTAGTGTTGGGTTCACCAGGGTGGTGATACGGTTAACCGTATGTATCGGTGGTAATTGACGAATAATTATTGCCCACTTCGACAGGTACCACCGTTCACCTGAGATAGGTTGGGCTATGTATGCATTGGCGCACACCACAATGGAGCAAGTTGAGAATATGCGAGCGCGGATCGCTTCCGGGATTACTTCACCCTTCACGGACCAACTCAACCACAACCTCCGCGCATTCTGGACCATACGCGCCAACATATCCCGGCTACCTGCACCAATAGCCTGCGTTAACATCCGACCATAGGACATGCCTGTCTTTCTGGACTGGTGGCTGGAAGCGACCTCCTTAACCCTATGAAGTTCATTATGTCTGTGATCGGCAACAGTTCTTGCACTATCAGCGCGGTATCCGTAGAGGACATCGGGTCATATCTGGGCCCCTAGGGGAGCTCATCACCCAATAACCGTTTGCGAGGCTGCATTCCAGGCTGCAATGCGTAAAAACTCTCCCTAGGCACGGCACCTAATCCGATATGTAGGCGTAATCAGAGGAACCAGACTGGGTCCATGGTAAGCATGACCAGGTGTGACTTACACTATAGCCGCAATATCCAGCAAGGCTAGCCCTGCCAGCAGGGATTGTCAATAGAGGGGCGTCAGAAATGTAAGGGATACTAGTACTATATATCTATATACTAGATTAACCTCTTGTCCTTAGCTTACAAGTGTTTGGGGCACCCCTTTATATTTGCTCTGTAACGGTAAGGCACTACATCCTCCTGTTGGCCGCTAGAGAGCATGCACAGAGTAGGTACAGATACATAAGTGCCCACTAGGGGTACTAGTATAAATGCCTACAACACAGCCAGAAACAAGGTGCATATACCTTAGGCACAAGATAATATACGTATACTACTTATTACTATTCATCCTATCACTTTCTGTTCCTCTATTTTTTACTTCTCAGGAACCCAGCCAGACCACTAACAGGGAATTTAGGTCGACTCTTCTTAGCAGTGCCTACGCTAACATACTGGTGTATTTGTTGGTTTCACCAGGATAGTGATACAGTTAACCGTACATATTAATAGGCAAGTAACAAATAATAGGGGTAAATACTAGTTCTAAATTATGCGTAAAGAAGGAAAAACTATCGTGGGATTACGCAGCAAATTCACTACGTAATATCCCTATAGATCTAGTGGATCTACAGTAAATTAGCTATAGTTATTCTAACTAATTAGTATTAATCTATATTACTAATATCTAGGTAATAGTTAATATTATAACACTAGTAACCTTCTAAAGTGCTATAAATTATCCCTATTTTCTAGTTATCTATAAAGGGCCTAAAAACGTAATAAAAACAAAAGGCTAAAAAGTATTTAATACTTTTTATATATATAATCTATTATATATATAAAACCTATCTATTTATCTATATCTTTAATTAACTACTATTAATTAACTACTCTAGCGCTTTATTAGGTAATACCTTTATAAATCTATTTACTAGGTTATTCTCCCCTTATATTTATTAGATCTTATAGATCTTATATTACTTATATAACTAGTAAAACGCTATAATATTAATTATAAGTTACTTCTCTTTAGTAGTACTAAGCTTTATAAGGCACTTATAGAGGGAGTATAAGTTAGTATAAAGGATTATTAGGATTTATAGTAACTTAAGGTAGTTAGTAATTATTATAAGTATAGTGCTAATTATATAAGTAACGTTAGTACTAGTAACTATACTATAGACTTTAGAGGCTAGTACGCTATATATAACTCTTTTATACTTTATTAAGCTAAAGTAAATAATATTACTATTAGTTTTACTAGGGTAGTAATATAGTTAACTATACGTATTAATAGGTAAGTGATAAATAATAGGGGTAAATACTAGTTCTAAATTATATATAAAGAAGGGAAACTATTATAGGATTATATAGTAAATTCACTACGTAATATCCTTATAAATCTAGTAGATCTATAGTAAATTAGCTATAGTTATTCTAACTAATTAGCGTTAATTTATACTGCTAATATCTAGGTAATAGTTAATATTATAACACTATTAACCTTCTAAAGTGCTATAAATTACCTCTATTTTCTAGTTATCTATAAAGGGCTTAAAAACGTAATAAAAATAAAAAGCTAAAAAGTATTTAATACTTTTTATATATATAACCTATTATATATATAAAACCTATCTATTTATCTATATCTCTAATTAACTATTATTAATTAACTACTCTAGCGCCTTATTTAGTAATAACTTTATAAGTCTGTCTACTAGGTTATCCTCCCCTTATATTTATTAGATCTTATAGATCTTATGTTACTTATATAACTAGTAAAGCGCTATAATATTAATTATAAGTTACTTCTCCTTAGTAGTACTAAGCTTTATAAGTTACTTATAGAGGGAGTAGGAGTTAGTATAAAGGATTATTAGGATTTATAGTAACTTAAGGCAGTTAGTAATTATTATAAGTATAGTACTAATTATATAAGTAACGTTAGTACTAGTAACTATACTATAGACCTTAGAGGCTAGTACGCTATATATAACTTTATTATACTTTATTAAGCTAAAGTAAATAATATTACTAGTAAGTATAAATTTCTTATTATTAGTGTAGGTTATATAACGTTACTTTTATTAGTAAGTATAATAATAAAGCTAAGTTATAAGGTAAAATTATAGTTATTTATAAATAAGCTGTTAATAAAAATAAAGAGCTTTATAGTTATAAGGTTAATTAGCTAAAAAAGCAGGCTGTAGTTAAGGTAACTTATTTACTACTTAATCTAGTAGTTAAGAGCCTTAATCTTCTCCTCTATAAGCTCTTAGTGTTATATAGTAACTAAATAGTTAAAGTAAGCCTTAGGTTAGTAAATTAATATAATATACGCCCTATAGGCCCTTTACTTAATAAAATCTTACTTAGTAGTAAGTAAACTTACGTTAACAAGCTAGAGCTTTTTGCCTTAATCCTTTTAGTAAAAATTTATTTTACTAGTATAGCTAAGGGAAAGCATGCTACTATTAAAAGTAATAAAATTATTAATAGTTAATAGTTACTTAGGCTTTATAGTAAAAGTTACCTTCTTAAGCTTTTTCTCTTTATAAGTAGAGAATTTATTATCTATAAGGCTAATTATATTATCTATCTATATACTAATAAGGCTAAAATCCTTATTATTAGGTAATAAAATAAGTAGGTAAAGGTTAAAGGTTAATAAATCTATTTAGAGATTCTCTTTATAATAGTAGTTATATATAGCCTACTAGTAGGTGCTTACCTTAGTAATACTATAAAGTAGCTTTATTACCTTTATAATAAAGTTACTAGGGTAAAAGTAGTAAATTTATATAGGAAGTCTTATAAAGATAATATAGTTAAGTAGTATTATAGATTAGGTATATACCTAAGTAATATTATATAACTAGAGGTAAAATCTATATTATAAAAGTAATAAAGTAAAGGTAAAGATAAGTTACTAGGCTATCTATTAGATAGTAAGTAACTACATAAGGATTATCTTCTTATTATTATTAGTATAACCTTAGATAACTAACTATAATTTCTTATATAGTTACTTATTTTTTTTAACCTTACGTACTATATATAACTTAAAGATCTATATATTACTATATATTTTCTTATTATATATAATAATATAAAATACACTATAGTTAATAAGGGCTTTTACCTCTACCTTATTAGACTCTTTAAAGAGCTTACTAGGCGTAGTAATAATACCTTTTTCTTATAGTTTAATAGTAAGTGTGTAGTTAGCTTCCTCCTTTATAGTAAGGTATACGTTAGAAACGTTAATAGTAGGGTATATCTTATAAAAAAATATAGTAATTAGGTTTTTTTATAGGCGTCTATAGCCTTATTATAGTAGCTACTTGTTATTAATAATAATAGTATTATATACTTTCTTTATAGATTTACTAGTTATTATAGGTTTTTCTCTTTATACTTACATAGGATTATTACCTCCTTTAGCTATTATAGGTAGTAGCACTAATTAGCCTTTTTCTTATACTATATAGTATAGCTTTACTATAGTAATATAAAAATTATATAAGCTATAAGGTAATTTAATAGTATAGGTAGTACTATTATTAGTAAGTAGGTAAAATAGGCCTTACTAGCTGTCTTTTTTATACTATATATAAATAAGTAATTAAAAAGGTAGCGCTATAGTATTTATTATATCTAGGCTGTTATATATTACTAGTGTATCCTATACTTATCTCTTAGTGTAGATTTACTACACTATATTTATAGCCTTTTTTACTGCTTTAGCGCGCTGCGCGGTAGAAGGGGCAGGTAGTAAATCCTCTGTAATATAGGGGTATACACTAAAAACAAGTAGGGTTAGTATAAGGCTATTAGGGCTAGTAGTATTATTAATAGCCTTAATAGCTAATTAGAGGGCGACTTTAGGCTTATAATTACTATCTATATAAATAATCTTATATATATAGTAAAAGGTAGTATAGTATTACTTAACCTTACTAATAGATTAGTAGGCCTTAATAGGCACTTTATTAACCTTAATAGATAACGTGTAGGTAGTATGTTTAAATTTAGCTATATAAAAATTTAGGCTAGTATTAGTAGTAATCTAATTAGGCGGCCTAAGATATATATTAGTTTAGTATATTTATAGTGCCTCTTATATATACTTTATAGTAACTAAATATAAGAATCTTACTATATTAAATATAGTAGCTAAGTTAACTATATAAAGTATAGGCTTATTACTATTTATATATATTATATTAATAAAGATTTTATAGTTAAATTTATAGTTATTATATAGTGTAAATTTAAAGCAGCTAGGTGTCTTTACGTTAAGTTAGTAGTAACAGCAGTACTTATTAATCTCTTTAAGTATAGTAAGGGAGGTAGATTTACCTACTTATTTAAG